CAGCATGCAAGGAAAGTAAGCTGGGACCATAGAAAGTTGGCAAACAGTGGCCGCGTGGCATTTTTTTGTCTCCATAGACTTAGAGGCAAGATGGTTTTGGCTGGATCCGAAGCCCATTTCCTGACAACCCTAAACCCTAAACCCTAAACCCTAAACCCCAAACCCTAAACCCTAAACCCTAAACCCTAATTAAACCCTAAACCAGGGATCTGAAGGTTCCGGAGCTGGTGCCCCCAAGATAGCAAACTCAACAATCCGCCCCTCCACCACAAATCCCTACAGCTGTACGGAATTCCCATAAAAAGGGGGCCTCAAGAAGTAATTCAGGGGTCGGAAGAACTACTAGTAACATTCCCTTATGGTCCCGTTGTAATTTTTCTAAACATGACCCCCAAAAGTCTCTTGAAATTATTCAGGCCCCTACAGTTCCCTTATGGTCCCGTTGTAATTTTTCTAAACATGACCCCCAAAAGTCTCTTGAAATCATTCAGGCCCCTACAGTAATCCAATGTGGGCCCCGGGCTTCGTCAGCCGTTCAGTGCCCGGACTTTGCCTTCGCCGCCGCCCCCTGAGTCTGGTTGTGTCTTTCCCAAGGTCCTAAGGCGTAAACCCTACTTGGGGAGTTTTTTTGGTAGTTACAAGTAGTGTCCCCCCTAGACCCTAAACCCTAAGGGAGGTCATAAGCATAGGTTCCCAAACTCATCAGCCAACTTCTAGCTACCCATGAACCTCCAAGTCACACTCTCAACCTTCTAAGCCTACTCTAACGACCCCGAAGCCCTAAACCCTTAACCAAAAGCCCGAAGCCCTAAACCCTAAACCCTAAACGCTAAACCCTAAACCCTAAACCCTAAACCCTAAACCCTAAACCCTAAACCCTAAACCCTAAACCCTAAACCCTAAACCTCCAAGACACACCCTCAGACCTACCTTGGGATTTTATGATGCACTGGGCAGGCCAGCTTCCGCGGCGTCACTCTATGGCCTGGGAGCTGAGATTTGCGGTTTAGGGTTTAGGGTTTAGGGTTTAGGGTTTAGGGTTTAGGGTTTAGGGTTTAGGGTTTAGGGTTTAGGGTTTAGGGCTTAGGGTTTCGGGTTTAGAGTTGATTAGGGTTGAGGGTTGAGGGTTTTGGAGTTGGCGGCATGTTTGGGGATACTCGAAACATTGAACTCGAGTCTCCTATATCCTTAGACGCCCTAGACCCTAAACCCTAAACCTTAAACCCTAAACCTTAAACCCTAAACCCTAAGCCCTAGACCCTAAACCCGTGCACTGCAGGATTTTTTCGGGTTGAGGGATCCTTGCAGACGCCGGTGGCAGTTCCAGCTCTGGGCGAGAGATTTGCAGTTTCTTCGATGGTTCCGTGAAAGCTTGAAGCGAGACCTCGTCGCATATGGAGGCGAATTACCATCTCAGGATAAGCTCCGTCAGGGTGCTTGCAGGCTCCACGATAGCACGTCTCATCCATGGAACCGCTGGCCCGTGTGGACATGAGGGGTAGGGCTTGGGGCTTAGGGTTTGGGGGGTTTGGGGGGTTTGGGGGTTTGGGGTTTTGGGGTTTTGGGGTTTTGGGGTCTTGGGGTCTTGGGGTCTTGGGGTGCCATCCGCCTCCAAGTAGTCCTTCCACCAAAAAGTCGAAAAGTCCGGTTTCGGGTGTAGGGTTTCGGGGATGGGGCTCTTGGCAACTAAGGGCCTTGTTTGGTCTGCAGTTTTTGGTTGGGGTTCAGGCTTCTTACTATTTTGGTACGGCACACTAAAGGGCACATACCGGAAAGGAGAAGCCCCTCGTTTAGCGAACGCACATACAGCAATGTCTTTGCGCACTGGAGCACCCTCAGCATGCAACGAAGTCTGCTCGAAAGTCGTCTGGGGCGACAAGGAAAAAATGCGTTTTCCCAACCACAAGGTGCCGGATGACTTGAGAAGGCTTTAACTTGGGACGTTCCCCCTCATACGAACAGTCCTTTATAGGGATCATAGTACCCCCTATTATAATCCACAGAAGGGGCTGTTAGTATTAAGGGGAACACAGGTTTAACACAGAGCAGCACTTGGGACTTGCCAAGCCTTCCGAGCCTGCACCCGAACTATAATCCCTCAGGGATCATATCTTAAGATATTACACAAGCCCCCAAAGGGAATGTTCAACATACAGTGCTTATTAAGGTTTCCAGGGGAGTATAGCTAAGCCCTGAACCCCATCGACGCTCTGCCAAGACCGTGGCTGGCTGATCGCCTGACGCGCTTGGAGGTTCCTGGTACTTGTTAGCCAAGTATAGCTGTACTCAGAACTGTACTTGTGACCATATTCGGGCACTTAAAGGGGCTGATAAGTGGGTTATCGGTGCAGCAATAATTGGTTAATAAGTACCCCTAAACCCTAAACCCTAAACCCTACACCCTAAACCCCAATACAGTTAAAATTGGTTAATATGTACCATGAACCTCCAGGCAGGAGAGCGTATTTAATTTTCAGGGGCTTCCAGTGACCGGCCGTTGGCCCGATGAAACCAGCAGCCAAACCGCTGCTGTCAAGCTATTGGGCAGCAACAGGGTTTAGGGTTTAGGGTTTAGGGTTTAGGGTTTAGGGTTTAGGATGAAGTCTGCGGGGGCTACGGTTGAGATCGTGCCTATTCGACTGGCACGGCACGAGTTCCACTTGGAACGTCCCGTGTGTTAGACTAAAAGCAAATCCGTGGCGTGTGCCTCAAAAGTGTGCGATGAACACCGGTCTAGGGTATAGGGTTTAGGGTTTAGAGTTTAGGGTTTATAGGGTTTAGGGTTTACCGCCAAAAACAGTTACCCTGGGCCCTGGACCGGAGTAAACGATCAGCCGCTTGGGACCAGCTGAGCATATCGCAAAAAGAGACCCTGAACCCTAAACCCCTAGCTCGAAAACCGAAACCCAAAGCCCATCCTTACACCTCTATGGCTGTGGCAATGAGACCCCAGACATGTTCCTGAAGAGTCTCTGCCCCCTAGGACCAAAGGCTTGAAAAGGCAAGGACCCTGGTAGCAACAGTCATCCTGCAAATCCTCAAGAGTTTAGGAGTTTAGGGTTTAGGGCTTAGGGCTTAGAATTTAGGGCTCAGGGTTTAGGGTTTGGGGCTTAGGGTTAGAGTTTAGGGTCCTAACTCAAGAGGACATCCCAACTCTGAGCTCTAGGACCTGTGCCAGTAACCTTGCGGTTCATAAACCCTAAACCCTCAACCCTAAACCCTAAAGGTTGCCCATGTTTCTGCATCCCTGAGCCCGGATAGCGATGCGCAGAAGCCCGCGAACTCAAATTCTTAGACCTTAGAATGTGAGCCTTATAGGGCAGAAGAGAGACCAAGGCGGCCCAGGATGCACTTCAATATTCCGATCCCTTTTTGAAGGGTGTTAGGGTGCAGGGTTTAGGGTTTAGGGTTTAGGGTTTAGGGTTTGGGGTTTAGGGTTTAGGGTTTAGGGTGCAGGGTTTAGGGTTTAGGGTTTAGGGTACAGGGTGTTCGGGGTGCTAGGGCGTTTGGCGGTTTACATGTCACGTCTCGGCGCCGCCATTTAAGGTTACTTGGAGGGGGCACGCAACACCCGCATAACACCCCTAGGGCTTAAGAATCCCTATGCCCTATGTGGTTATCTAAGTCACGGTCCGTAGCTACCCAAAACATGAGGGGCAAACAAGGGCCATGATTTCTGACGACCCTCGTGCTCCTAAACCCTCCAAGAGCTCCATCATGTAGAGGACTCGAACCTCTTCCCTCATGTAAGTCCCCCCCCCCCTTCCGCAAGCCCTAAGGCCCTAAGGCCCCAAGCTAAAGTCTTGCTTCCGGCCATTGGAACCGCCGAGCCCCTAAACCCTAAACCCTAAACCCCAAACCCCAAACCCCAAACCCTAAACCCCAAACCCCAAACCCTAAACCCCAAACCCTAAACCCTAAACCCTAAACCCTAAACCCTAAACCCTAAACCCTAAACCCTAAACCCTAAACCCTAAACCCTAAACCCTAAACCCTAAAGGGAAAGGAGAGAGAGAAGCGATGAACCGAAGCGCCTCCGCGCCGTTGCTGGGGAGTCGGCTCCTGGAGGGCACGCTCTTCGTGGCGGAAGGCGCGGAAGAAGGGTCCCTAAACCCTAAACCCTAAACCCTAAACCCCAAACCCCAAACCCTAAACCCTAAACCCTGAACCCTAAGCCCTAATCCCTAAGCCCTATTAGGGTTTTAGCGTCTTGGGGTCTTACGAAGGGATGAGGACTAGATCTTAGGGTCTTAGGGTCTTAGGGTCCTAGGGTCTTAGGGTCTTGAGGTCTTAGGATCTTTGGGTCTTTGGGTCTTAGGGTCTTAGGGTCTTTGGGTCTTTGGGTCTTAGGGTCTTAGGGTCTGCAGGGTCTAGGGTTTTTAGTTTTGGGTCTTGCGTGTTTGGGGCGTTTAGGGGGCTTAGAGTCCTGTAGTGGAGTGGGGTCTTAGGTTGTAAGGTGTCGCACTTCGGGCTTGGTGTAACCCACAGCCTTAGACCCTGCCTCCCTCTTTTGTTTATTTGGTACGAGAAGCAGGGTGTGGGGGCCCCTAACCCTAACCCTAAACCCCAAACATCAAACCCTAAGCCCTAAACCCTAAACCCTAAACCCTAAACCCTAAACCCTAAACCCTAAACCCTTACCCCTCCCCCCCCATCCCCGAGATTGGGGGCCAGGACCCGCAGCCGGGAAAGCGTCCTGGCATCCCCTGCCCTTTGGCTCGCACGGAGCCGTCATTTTTTGTTTTGCTTTGGGGTTCAGGCTTTGGGGTTCAGGGTTTAGGGTTTAAGGTTTAGGGTTTAGGGTTTAGGGATTGGGGTGTGTAGGGCTTAGGGCCGGCTAGGGCGAAGGGTTGAGGGCTTGGGGTTCAGGGCAGTTAGGTTTCAGGGGTTCAGGGGAACGCCCTGCTACTTCGTAAGCCCTGAGGTGAGGGAACAAGACCTAACAAGACCTAACAGACGAAAACGCGACCTAGCAAGTGCATCGGGGAACAGAGAATGCCATGAAAACCCAAGTCCTGAACCTTCAAGCCCAAACACCGATTGCCAGGCGTTTCGCCCACAACTCGGACGGCTCACTGTCCTTTGCGGACGGCACCTCCCAGGCGCTTCGCCAGCAATATATAGAAATGTGCATATATATATATACACACACTTTCTTTGCATCTATACATGTAGGCATGCATGTATGTATGTATGTATGTATGTATGTATGTATGTATGTATGTATGTATGTTTGTATGTATGTACGTATGTATGTATGTCTGTATGTCTGTATGTCGGCATGTCTGTATGTATGTGTGTATGTATGTATGCATGCATGCATGCATGTATGTATGTATGTATGTCTGCATGTACGTATGGTCTTTGCGCTTGTGGGCTCTGGTCTGAGGGCTTGGAGTCTTCAATGCAAGGGATGGGCCTTAGGGTTTAGGGCTCCCACGGGGGGTGGGGGGGTTGCTAGGTAGAGATTTTGACTGAACCCTTCGGCGTTTTATTGCGGGTCCAGCTTTAGGCTGTGTTCGGGTCGCTACGGCTTGCGAGTGTTTAGTTCAGGCTTTACGGTTTAAGGCTTTGGAGGTAGGCTGAGGACTTCGGGCTTTGGGGCTCCTGGGTTGCTTCTGAAGGGCTTGAGCGTGCTTCGTGCCGTGACGGGCAGGGTACCTGCCAGTACCTCTCCCTGAGCCCTTCATCCTCCACCCTAGATCCCAATCCTCAACATAAGGCCTCTGCCCTAAACCTCAACATACGCCCTAGACCCCAAACCTCAACATAAGCCCTAGCAAGCCTCTTTTCGGGGGGTTGAGGAGGGGGGGGGTTGTTTGGAGTTTGGGGTCTGAGTCCCCCCAAGAAGACCCCTCCGACTTAATCCCTAAAGCTCCGCGCCTTGAACACATATGTTTCTGCTGACAACCCCGAACCCTAAACCCTAAGCCCTCAGCCCTCAGCCCTCAGCCCTAAACCCTAAACCCTAAACCCTAAACCCTAAACCCTAAACCCTAAACCCTAAACCCTAAACCCTACCTAAAAGGGGAGGTTGAGGGTACCAAGCCCGAGGAGATCTACTTGGATGCTGACTGGAGGCAGCCATTTACAGTGGCGCCGTGGAAGCCCGTCACCAGCTCTTCAGTCGCCCTCGAGTAGGGTTTAGGGCTTAGGGGCTTAGGGGCTTCGGGTTTAGGGTTTAGGGTTTAGGGTTTGGGGTCTAGGGACTAGGGAATAGGGTTTGGGGTTTAGGGTTTAGGGTTTGGGGTCTAGGATCAAGGGTCTAGGGTTTGGGGTTTAGGGTTTCGGGTTTGGGGCTACATCGCATCAGTCGATGAGGGTTGGGCGAGGGTTCTCACGGGATGCCAACTCGTTCCCCTGAGCTCGGACCCATCAGGGAAGCCTCTAACGTACTCCAAAATTTCCAAATGCACAAACTTAGATCCCTGGCGGTTAAACTCTTAAACCCCGAGCCCCAAGCCCCAACAAACGGCAAACCCTAAACCCGAAACCCGAAACCCTAAATCCTAAACCTTTGAGCTCAGGTGGCGGCAAGGAGCTGTACCCCTTCAGTCTCAGCTACTGGCCACTCCCCGGGAGGAGACCTCCCAGGGAGACAGGTGCAGAGGCGGGAGCAGCAAGCCCAACCCCAAGGCAACCCAACACAAACTGGCCGCAACCATGAACACCCCAATTGGGTTTAGGGGTTAGGGTTTAGGGTTTAGGGCTTAGGGTTTAGGGTTTAGGGGATTTAGGGTTTAGGCCCAAATCTCCACACCTCCTAGTGGTTGGTTGGTTGGCTGGCTGGCTGGCTGGCTGGTTGGTTAGTGTGTCCGTGTTTCGGTGGTTTAGGGTTTAGAGCACGCTAAGCCATCAAAGCCTGCCGAGAAACTCAAACCTACATATTGCAGGTTTGCAGTTTGTGCTACAAGTAGTACCCTAAAACCCTACCACCCCCAAACCCCAAAACCCTAAAGCCCTGAAACCCTAAAACCCTAAAGCCCCAAAGCCATCAAACCCCAAAACCCTAAAACCCCAATACCCTAAAACCCTTAAACCCCGAAACCCTAAAACCCGAAAGCCCTACAAGCCTAAAACCCTAAACCCCAAAACCCTAAAGCCCTAAAACCCTACGACCCCCAAACCCTAAAAACCTAAAGCCCTAAAACCTGAAAGCCCCCAAACCCTAAAACCCTAAAGCCCCCAAACCCAAAAAACCTAAAACCATAAAACCCTAAACCCCTAAACCTTAAACCTTAAACCCTAAACCCTGGTGTGGCGCAGGGCCCCCCAGCAGCGCGGCGGACGCTGATGCTTGCGGCGCCGAGCGTGGGAGCACGAAAGAGGCTGATTGTAGGGCTTCGGTTTAGGGTTTAGGGTTTAGGGTTTAGGGTTTAGGGTTTAGGGTTTAGGGTTTAGGGTTCAGGGTTTGGGGTTTGGGGTTTGGGGTTTAATGTTGAGGGTTGAGGGTTTAGGGTTCAGGGCTTAGGGTTGAGGGTTTTCTTGGGCTGGGGGGGCCCTCAGGTGGCTGACCACTCTGGCGAGGAAGGTGGGTTCGATGCAGCCTGGGCCTCGCAGGGACCTGTGACATCTTTTGACTTGGTGGTTTGGGGTTTAGGGTTTAGGGCTAGGCGGGGCCATAACAGACCCACGCTTTTTAGGTAGTTCCGCTCTGTTGCCCTCACAAACCCCTGTAAATACCGATGTTTCCTGGGTTTCCACCATTGTCTCATGCCCTCACTTTTTATCAAAATTTGTCCTGCATTTTTTACAAGCATCCGTAGACTACACTGGTATTTGTGGGGTTTTTTGCACTTCTTTCAACTTAAGACGCGTCCTAAACTAAGACCTTTCCTGCATCCACTTCTGCCCAGGCCTGAGTCCACATAACATGTCTCCTTGCCTGAAACACTTCTGACATCGTAATAGCTCTTGCTCGCAGTACTTGATAGAAGAGAAGCCTTCTTGCTTCCCAAAGACACAGGATGTTCACAAGTTTGGTCTGTGAGCTTTACTGTTACACTTGCGTCCTTGCCGCAATGGATAGGCGTGCTCTTACAAATCAGCGATGCGACAGCTGGCGGGTTGGGGTTCACTCCATGGCCCCGGTAGGGGCCTGGCTTCCTTGGGCAGAAGTTCTGACTCTCGCAGGCAGATGCGGCTGGTCTGAGTTTGACTGTCAAGCAGCAGCAGAAACGTGGACCAGTCTTTCTGGAGCTGAGTTGACATGGACAGAGGATCACAGCTCCATTTTGCGAGTGCGTCTGCTTCCTCTAGACAAAACCGATGGCGTGCTTGACTTGTCCGACGACGAGGAGATACCCTCTGCGCATCTCGAGATTTCACCTCTCTTCGAGCTGTTTCCCCCGTGGAAGACTTGGTGCGAGTGCGTGCATGTGGTGGCCTGCAAAGCATCAACACTGCCAAGTGCGACGCTCTGGTTTCCGACGGGGCTCGGGTTTACCCCTCCGTCGCCGACTCACTAGGTGTGCCACATTACCACGTTTCCCACGGTGCCGGGGTGTGGCGAAAGATGTTCCGAAGGCGCAGGAAACCTGCCATACAAGCACATTCTGGCTCCATAGATAATTTCTGGAAACAGCTCCAGGAATGCATGCCCGCCATGCTGGCCAAGTCCGTGCCAGGCTCTCCGCCTCAGGCGAATCCCGAGCTAATGAGTTATGTCTTCCAGTTCGTTTTGCGGTACCATCACGAAGGCAACATGCTTTCACTGATGCGGCTGCTGGGAAAGTTCTTATGCGACAAGCATTTTGCTCACCAGAACTGGTGCTGAGGACGTGCGTGCGGGGCCGTGGAAAGACGACAAGTCTGCAAACTAACAGCTCCGACCTAAGTCCACACCATGAGGTTTGCTGCTGGGGCCATACTTTCGCGCGGGTCTCTTGTGGACCCGCCAGGGTTTAGGGTTTAGGTCGCCCAGTGGTACCCTTTACCCTTTCTTTTGGTTGTGGGCTCCCTTGTAAGATAAGCCAGCCAAAAAAGGGTGCCCTTATTAGAATATGGTTTCTGGGCTACCAAGTTAGGGGTTTAGGCGCTTAAAGGGTTTAGGGGGCTTTCGGGGTTTTAGCGGTTTTAGGGGTTCTAGGGTTATCTAGGAATTCAGAGGCTTTAAGGGTTTAGAGGGGCTTGAGGGGCTTTAGGGGTTTCAGGGGTTTAAGTAGGGTTTAGGGCTTTAAGGGTTTAGGGGGTTTAGGGGTTAAATAGGGTTTACGGGTTTTTGGGGTTTTAAGGGTTTAGGGGTTTCTAGGGTTTAAGTAGGGTTTAGGGGTTTTGGGGTTTAGGTGGTTGTGGGTGTATGGGTTGATGTAGGGGTTTAGGGGTTAAAGGGTTTAGGGGGTTTTAAGGACTTTCAGGGTTTTAGGGATTTGGGGAGTTTCAGGGGTTTTAGAGGGTTTGAGGGCCTTTCGGGGTTTTTGGAGTTTTAGGGGGCTGTAGGGGTTTTAGGCGCTGTAGGGTTTTGCGGGCGTTTGGGGTTGTACGGGTTCTAGGCTTGAGGGGTTTTAGGGTATAAGGGCTTCATGCTTTAAGGGTGTAGGGGTTCATCCAGGGGTTTAGGGTTTAGGGGTTTTGGGGGGGAAAGGGTTTAAAGGTGTTAGTGTCTATCTAGGGGTTTAGGGTTGCAGGATGTACGGGCTTCAGGGGTTTCTTTTCGTAGGATTTAGTGGGTTGGGCGTTTCAGGGTGCAGGAAGTTTAAGGGTTTGCGACTTCAGGTGCATAGGAGGTTTAAGGGTTCAGGGTATTACGGGAGGTGGGATGGACCTACCCCTGCACCCTTGGCACTACACCCCAGACAAGAATCACCCAGCTACTGGGTTACTGGGGGAGTGTGAAGGTGTGCGACACAGGAGAACCCTCAACCCCAAGCCCTAAACCCCAAACCCTGATCCAGAAACCCTAAACCCTAAACCCTAAACCCCAAGCCCCAAACCCTAAACCCTAAACCCTAAACCCTAAACCCTAAACCCTCATTTCCTAGACCCCAAACCCCAGCACCCAAACCCTACGCCCAAAATCCCGCAGCCAAGGCTAAGGCCTTCCGCAACATTTGGAGAGCTGCTTGGCCTTGGGGTTTTTGGGGTTTAGGGTTTAGGGTTTAGGGTCTAAGCTTTAGGGTTTAGGGCTCCGGGGTGCCGCTCTTGTCTCGTCTTGAGGTTTCTGTTGCCATCATTGCAATATGGGTGCCCTTGTTATGGTTGGTAACTTTATAGTGGTCTAGGGTTTAGGGTTTAGGGTTTGGGGTTTGGGGTTTGGGGTTTAGGGTTTAGGGGGACCTAGAACCCCCCCCCCCCCCCCCCCCCCAAAAAAAAAGGGCAACATGATACCACTGGGCTACCAAGAGTAAGTTGCCCCCGCCAAAAAAACGCTACATCTCTACCATATTCACAAAACCTGCTAAACTCGAAACGCTACAAGCCCTGTAAGCCTGACACCCTTTACAACCCCAAACCCTATAAACACCCTACTAACAGCCTGGAAGCCAAATCAACCCTCAACCCTAAACCCTAAACCCTAAACCCTAAACCCTAAACCCTAAACCCTAAACCCTAAACCCTGAAGCTCTACCAAACCTTCAGACCGACTTCCCGCAAGCGTGCCCAGGATAGGGGACTGCACCGTTCCGAGCTGAGAGTGACGAATCTCCCGCTCCGTAACGGGGTTTCTCGGTCCTAGGGTTTAGGGTTTAGGGTTTAGGGTTTAGGGTTTAGGGCTAGGGATGACCTTAAGAACCTAGAACCTACTGCAAAGTTTGCAGGTTCTGATTCTTAAACCCCTTATAGGCTTGTTAGGCAACCTACAAAAAGTACAGGCATGGGTCCTTAAGGTAGGCTTGAGGGATTAGAGTTGGAGGGTTGGGGTGTTTAGTCAGGGTTGGGGCTCGCTGAACCCAAAACCCTTTTAGGGTTCAGGGTTTAGGGTTTAGGGTTTAGGGTGTAGGGTTTCATCCTGAACCCCAAGCCGCAGCATTAAGGTCGTAGGGTTTAGGACTTAGCATCAGGCAGTTTCAGTAGCGGAGTCGGTACCGGGCTGTAGGGTGTTCATCGTCGCAAGTTAAAAAATTTCTTAGCCCTAAACCCTTTGTAGGTTGCCAAGCTCGACCAAGGTGGCCCCCCTCCCCCTCATTCCAAGAATTGAGTTCCTGGAATTTCTAGGAATCTCCGGTAAAGCCCCTAAGCAAAGCCAAGTGGCTCAAGGAAAAGACCTAGGCAAAAAATGATCTAAGCGCCAAAAACCCATCCCCAAAGCCCCTAGCGCCTATGCCTAAACCCCTAATGCCATAACCCCTATCCCCACCAAGGAAAGTTGTCCCTTAACCGTGCTAAGAGATTTCCGGTTCCCACTGTCATTACGGCACCTACCCTCGTAAGCCCCTGAATCCGTAAGCCTGAATTGCGGAGCTAGGGAGTTGCGGCTCGGTGTCTTAGGCTTCAGACATGGCCTCTGGGACGAGAAGGGATTTGGGTTTAGCTTGGGGCTTGTAGTTGTTTAGGGCTTTGAGGCGTTTCAGTGCCTTAGACTGTTTTTGGACTCCGGTTTGGGGTTGCTTTCGGATTGCCAGTACTAAGGATCTTCAGATCTAGGTCTTCCCCAAAACAACAGGTTAAAAACCCTAAACCCTAAACCCTAAACCCTAAACCCTAAACCCTAAACCCTAAACCCTAAACCCTAAACCCTAAACCCTAAACCCTAAACCCTAAACCCTAAACCCTAAACCCTAAACCCTATAGGAACCCCAAGACCCAAAAACATGCTGACCTCTCTGCCTGCCTCCCCGGGCCCCATGGCGCCCTGTGCGCGGCCTTGGGCGGCGGCCCGACTGCCGGCCGTGGCGACGAGGAGGTATAGGTTTTTTGGGTTTAGGGTTTAGGGTTTAGGGTTTAGGGTTTGGCGTTTCGGGTCTATGCAGGATTTGGGGTCTTGGGCTTTGGGTTTCTGTCAAGCCACACGCGGAACCTGAGACCCTGAACCCCAGACCTAAACCCTAAACCCTCTAAATCCCTAAACCCTAAACCCCTAAACCCCTAAACCCTAAACCCCTAAACCCCTAAACCCCTAAACCCTAAACCCTAAACCCTAAACCCTAAACCCTATATACACCCTAAACCCTAAACCCTAAACCCTACAGCTACGAGGAGCGCTCCAAGAAGCGCGGCCGGCCTCCCGAGCCGAGGCAGCCACAGGGCTTAGGGGTTTGGGGCTTTAGGGTTCCGGGTTTAGGGTTAGGGTTTAGGGTTTGGGGTTTAGGGTTTAGGGTTTAGGGTTTAGGGTTTAGGGTTTAGAGTTTGGGGTTTAGGGTTTAGGGTTTAGGGTTTAGGAATGGGGTGGGGGTTTCTTGCAGGCCAGGAAGGGCGGGGCCAGGAAGGACAGGGGGCCTTGTCAGGGGGGCCACGCGGGGGGAGGGGGGGGGGGGGGGAAATTGAGTTTTTTGAGCAGCGGCGAGGGCTCCAGGACCCCCTGGGCTGGGGGCCTCATGCTGAAGGGAGCAGCTGCGTCCACAAGTCTGGTACGGAAGCCTTTACATACATTTACATATGTATCTGCAGATACAGGTGGCCGAGAACAAGATATAGATCTTTTCAGAACACATGCCCGGGAGCAGTCAGACTGCAAGCGACGACCCTTCTTAGCTGCCCGCTTGGTTTGGATTTGCAGGGCTCGCTCGTGGGATGCTCTAGTTCCGTCGCATGGCAGAGTACATCTGCGCACAGTCGTTTCCCTTCTGTAGCAGTGAGCGGCTTTGCGTCATCACTGCCTACAAGCCAAAAGCCAAGTAGTGAAAGCAGCTCTACAAAGCGGACCACGGGCCTGCAGTTTCAGTTGCGTGCCTTAATACGCCCAGACTCTTACAGCGCCGCGATCGCCCCCGTTTTGGCGGCACTCGCACGGCATAGATAAACCCTTGACCCATGAAGTCTGAGAACTTTGAGCCCTAACCCTATAACCTGGAACCCGAAACCTGCTTAATATCCTTTAGGGCTATACGCCTCAAAACCCGGCACCCTCAGCCCTATGAACCCAAAAGCCTGGCCTGTAAACCCAAAACCCCACAACCCCAAGCCCTACACCCTAAGCCGCAAGCCCTCCAAAACCCCAAGCCCCAAACCCACTCTCAAGGGGCTCTAAGCCCTAAACTCGAAACCAAGAACCTCTTTGGAAGCACCCTTCCCAAACAGCTTTGTGAGGCAACGCGGCCCTTCGCCCCCTCCGAGGCAATCGCAGCGTTCGGGCCGCCGCAGCTTAGCAGCTGCACTGCCCGGGGGCGTCGGGGAGGGGTAGGAGGGGTTTAGGGTTCAGGGTTCAGGGTGGGTCTACGCTTTAGGGTCTGGGCGTGTAGGTAGGGGCTGGTTCTGCTAGGCTTGTTGCTGTTGAGTAGGGTTTTACTACGGGTTCAGGAATCAACCGGGGGGGCGGGGGGTATAGGGCTATCGAGATTACAAGAGTTAAGCAACTTATGAGGTTTTGAACTGTCCAACTTGTGGGCACAGCTCATCCCTCTGGTTTCTCAAGTTCCGACTCGCCAGTCCTAAGTTTTGTTCGGGTTTAGGGTTTAGGGTTTAGGGTTTAGGGTTTAGGGTTTAGGGTTTAGGGTTTAGGGTTTAGGGTTTAGGGTTTAGGGCCTGTTTAGGGTTTAGGGCTTAGGGCTTATAGGGCTTGAGGTTGAGAGACGTGCTCCCCTCCCAAACACTTCCAAAAAAGAGCCTTAAGTTAGGGTTTAGGGTTTAGGGTTTAGGGTTTAGGGTTTAGGGTTTAGGGTTTAGGGTTTAGGGTTTAGGGTTTAGGGCTTAGGGATATCCCCCTTGTTTTTTTTTTATACCTGTTAAGGGGTGACATAGAGGGAGTCATATGGTGCCCAGTTCCCTCCCTCCCCTCTTTGTTTCTTGAAAGTCCTCCCTGAACCAGCCCGAGGATGCGGAAGGCGCCGTCGTGGTGCCCCTCCCCTTCTCCCGGCGCGTCTTCTGGTCTTCCTGGCTGGTGGCCGTCACCACAGGCGGCTGAAACACCAGCCTTCAGCCTTAACACTGCCTTAACCCAAAGGAGCCCAATATCCCTTAATTAAGGAATATACCTGAATTCATCAAGGGATCCTTATTATGATTTAGTGAACGTGCTTTTTGCATGCGGGAGTTCATCTGAAATCCCCAAGCGCTGTTGGGAAGCAAATGCAGCCTTCTGGTTCAGTCGTGTGCGGCAGCAGTGTTTTGGGGTTGCTTGAGCGTGTTCAGGTTTTGGCGGTTTGAGAGCCCTAAACCCGAAACCTTAAACCCTAACTCTCAAACCCCAGACCCTAAAGCAGGGTTGCCCTAACTCCTAAACTCCACAGGGGTTGCAGCTCTCCACCAATGCTGGGTCTGCAGTGCGCTCTGTTCCCTTGCGTCTTGGCGCGTGCACACAGTTTAGGGTTTAGGGTTCGGGTTTAGGGTTTAGGGTCTGAGGTTTTGAATTTGGGGTTTGGGGTTTAGGGTCGGATTCCCCTCAAGCCACTCTAGACTCTAGTCCCTGATCTCGCGCCCTAAGTGGGATCTCGACATCCGAGAGAGTTGAAACCAGGACTTTGAGCTATAGAGAAGCCTGGACGCGCAGGTGTCTTCCACCAAGCCCCAAAGTCCAAGCTAGCCCTAAACCCAAAAACCTGAGATCCTCAGATCCTCAACACCTCACCTCAGTCCCGAACCCAACCCCGAATTGGGTTTGAGTTTTCGGCTGGGGTGAACGACCTAAACCCTAAACCCTAAACCCTAAACCCTAAACCCTAAACCCTAAACCCTAAACCCTAAACCCTAAACCCTAAACCCTAAACCCTAAACCCTAAACCCTAAACCCTAAACCCTTAAGGTTTGCTCTGCTCGCTGCAGGTCCTTTTCGGGACTGCTTCTTGGGCCAAGAATTGGTTCCCCAGGGTTTAGGGTTTAGGGTTTAGGATTTAGGGTTTAGGGTTTAGGGGGGTCGGCTTTTGAATGTTAAGCTTCTTTCTTCTTTGCAGTCGAGCAAGTCTCATAGCTTCTGATGAACCTTCTGGGGTGCAAAGGGTTTAAGGGTGTAGGGGTAGACCCCCCCTATCTCCACTGGGAAGATCAGACCTCTAGTTAGTGCGACTGGCCTCCTTTGAAATTGTGACCAAACTCTTGCTGGGCTTCAAAGCTCAGGGGCTTGAGGACCCTCAACCCCTAAACCCTAAACCCTAAACCCTAAACCCTAAACCCTAAACCCTAAACCCTAAACCCTAAACCCTCTCGCCTCATTCGCTCTAAATTTCGAAAAATCTCTGGCAAACGCCCCTCACCCGTTTCACTCACATTCACCCCCTCATCCGTTTCATACAGGGGGTTTCTGGGGAGTTTACCCTAAACCCACAGGGGGTTTCTGGGCCCTAAACCCTAAACCCTAAACCCTATCGCCTCATTCGTTGCTATCACTTCGTCGCCTCTCAATGTCGTAGCAATTGTTGCATTGTATGACTTACGAGTTCAAGTAGGGTTTAGGGTTTAGGGTTTAGGGTTTAGGGTTTAGGGTTTAGGGTTTAGGGTTTAGGGTTTAGGGTCTACAGGTTTTTCTTTCTAGATTCTAGCAATCTCTATATGTTTAGCGCTTGGATGGAAGAAATCGATGTTTTTTTTT